AACTGATGTACAGTCGCTTCATTTCATATGATCATGTGTGCCATTGCACACACAGTCCACTTTGGCGTCCTCATCCTGGAGTTGCAATCGCAAAAACGCAAGAGACTTACCGATTGTTATCGATTACATCAATTTGAGGTGACTAGTAACTGAAAAGGAAAGAAAATGCTAAGAACACCTTGGAAACACTTACCTGAAGGCTTATTTCTCTCACGAATCCAGGATGGGGACGCAAAAGGTGAAGTGTGTGTGCAATGACACACATGATCATATGAAATGAAGCGACTGTAGCTACATAAAGTCGCAGCTACTCACACCTACGTTACTTTTCTGCTGAAGAGTTGGAAGGGTCGGATACAGTACGCTGAATGAAAGCGACTGAAGAAATGAAGTCCTGAACGGGTCTCTACAAAAACCCAACAAGAACGAAAATTTATGTATCTCTGCTGATTACATGCTGACGAGCAAGTCATGATTATTCTGACATTCCCCCCCCCCCCCCTCCTCTCAAAAGCATGCGACAAGCTAGTTGAAAATACGTCGCAACCAGTACTTCAAGTGTATGAAAAATTCTTCGAGCTTAAAACGTTCTGCAAGCGGGCGATGAGCGCCAATAGTGGAGGGAGGTTCAGTCTTAGCGATGTGAATGGGAGACTGGAACAGGTATTTATTTTATCAGTGGCAACGACACAAAACAATTTTGGGTAACAAACGTTTTTTGTCTTCGTATAAGCTGCTGCTCTGGTGAGTATGTAACAGACAGTCCGGCAAGACAAAGTCCGACGAGAATCAAGGAAATACTTCTGCTCTCAACAACCCATTACGACGACGTTATTTCATTGACCTTTTGAGCACGATTTTTGATGATTTTCACCTTCACACGCGACTGCTTTCTGTCTTATTTTGATAATGGCAAGGAAAATGAAGCTTGTTTAGAGTTGTTTATTAGAGAATTTGCTCATTTTTAAAGGTCTAACAATAAAAAAAGAAGTGATCACTAAAGCAAGATTTTCGAACATTGTTGGAGGCCACTGGGGGTAATGATGTACCAGATGGAGAGAAAATTAGAATTTGCGCGACTTTATCGCTGTGTACGTTAAGGGGCCGGGCATACTTCACGCGATTTCAGTCGCGAGGCGATTTGGCAATTCGCCAGAAGTCTTCGAAACCAACGCTAGCGAACTGCACATGCATAGTGTGTATAACTTACGCGGACTGATAAAATGCCCTATCTTCTGTGCATTTAAAATCTGCTTATAGTGAGTTATGGACATTTGGAATATTGCCAAATCGCGTCGCGACTAAAATCGCGTGAAGTATGCCCGGCCCTTAACGGAAATGGAGTAAATGTAGTAGCATGTATAACTAAATTACCAATTTTCGGTAACGACATAGGTGAGTTGAGAATGGAGAAAATCTCTACATTGAGACAGACGATAGAAAACAGTCTTCATCAAGAATCGGTACGAAAAAGTGAAGGGGATGCATACACGATTCATGATACGCAAAGACTGGGCGCCATTGCGTCCGGCTAAGATAGTTCGTATATGGGAGAGACAGCAGATGGTAAGAGAAACAAAAGAGCGCTCGTAAAGACGCCGCTACAGTAGTGTTTGCGTACTATGAATCGCCTATACACGGAATTAGGACGGAACCGCGAAAGCCATTAAATGTAGATTGGCAAAAGTCTACACTATAAATGAAGAATTTATAAGCTCTTGAAAATCCTCTCTAATTTTTCATGGACCCGGCTTTGGAAACTTTACTACCTCAAGTGGAAATAAAGTTTTATGCCTCCGTCCTGTGAATAAATCTCGCAAAAAAAAATAACATCAGCCAGAAAAAGATACAAAGAGTTTTGGTTCTCCTTATTACGGCTAGATTTACTAAAAACTTTGATCCGTATGACTGCAAATTTGCGACTACTTTTTGAAAATACGCATTGAAGGGTAAGTTTATCATTTTTGAATGTTTTGGAACTTTGAACCTTATCTAAAGCAAAAATACTTCTTGATTTCTTCGGTAAGTTTTATTCTGCAATGAATTCGAAAATCTCCAGCAAAACATGTGTGATACACTTGCGGCACATTGAGACCTAAATGCATACGGTATTATCAAAGAAGAGTTTGAGCGGTCTGTTACAACAAGACTCTCTTCCCAGAAGGCGGCGATTTCGAAAGCCGTTCGCGCAGTTAAATTCAGCCCATACATGTAGAGATTATGTGATATATCCAGTCTTATATCTCGAATGACTCTCCGTGCACACCCTTCGGGCGCCAAAGGACGGGGCGGGAGGGGGGGGGGAGATACTACGATTCTTGCGTTTGGCACGCATTGTGGCTCCAATCTCTGCTTGTACCAACATGGATGACATGCTGAACCATGTGAATGGTGTTCGACTCGGTACTGTCTTGTATGAACACGTTGTCAAACGGCATCTTCGAGAAGGAACTTCATTCACTTCACTTTGTGCGCTCCTCTGAGCTGTAGACTACGGAGCACTCTAAATACGTGTCCTCCTTCCCTTATTTCGATACTCTTTAACTTGCAACAATAATAGTCCTGAAATCAAACTTAGCCAATCGGATATGTTCTAGTAAAAATTTAGCATTTTTCAGGTTTGCCCAGATCAAAGCACCATAGTTCCACACATCACCCACCCACAAACGACAGTGAATTCCGAAGCGCAAGTTGTGTTCAGACGGTAAGCTGAAATTTGCAATAGCAGACCTCAAAATGAAAAGTACACAGAATAGAGTGAAGTCCCCTATACTGTGATTCCTATCTTGTAACCTCACTCGAAGGGGAGGTCCCTCTCAAAAAGGTGCAGCGAAACACTCATCTAAGCACTATAAGCCCTAACAATTTTCCGAGTAGCTCAGGCAACGGATAGGACCCCTCCGCCGGAGAAATGGCAGGGTCGCGGCGTTTCCCCAGCGGTGGGTCTCCCATTTGTCCGGCGGAGCCCTCCCAATTCTCCGGCGGAGACCTCCCATTTCTGCTCCGGATACCTCCCATTTTCTGCTCCGGAGACCTCCCATTTTCTGCTCCGGATACCTCCCATTTTCTGCTCCGGATACCTCCCATTTTCTGCTCCGGATACCTCCCATTTTCTGCTCCGGAGCCCTCCCATTTCTGCTCCGGATACCTCCCATTTTCTGCTCCGGAGCCCTCCTTTCTGCTCCGAATACCTCCCATTTTCTGCTCCGGAGCCCTCCCATTTCTGCTCCGGAGACTTCCCATTTTCTGCTCCGGAGGCCTCCCATTTTCTGCTCCGGATACCTCCCATTTTCTGCTCCGGATACCTCCCATTTTCTGCTCCGGATACCTCCCATTTTCTGCTCCGGATACCTCCCATTTTCTGCTCCGGAGGCCTCCCATTTCTGCTCCGGACCCCTCCGATTTTCTCCGGCGCGGCTCTTCCAAATCTGGCGGACTCGCGCCGAGCAAATTTCTCCGGCGCGAGTCCGCCAAATCTGGCAGAGTCGCGCCGGAGAAATGGCGGACCTTTGCAGCAGGGCCGGAGAAGCCTCCCACTTGCCTGCCAGTGATGTCACCGCGATGGACCGCCCATTTGCCCCTCTCTCATTGGTCAACTGGGTCCGGCGCGACTCTGGCAGATTCGGACTGTCCGGCGGAGGGATCCGGTCGATTGTCTGAGAGGCTGGAGCTTGTTGGTATGTATCATCAATACTCCATCCGTAAATCCACAATAAGTCGAGTCGTTCTATCAGATCACGGAGCTGCAGTCGCATCAAGGCAGCGTCCACAACGCTCAAGGCTCGCGCTCTATTTGGAAAAATTAGGAGAGATCAAGGAAATTAAGGAAGAGTCCTACATAAAATCGCCAAATTTACACATACTCTTATTAATCGAAGGGGTACTGTACTCTGTGATAGCTCCTGTCTGACAAGGTAACGATCCCAAGTTAAGGTGGCGAATTGGAATAAGCCGCACATCATTAGATGCGTATTGATGAGCTGATTGCAAATCTACCTTCCATATCCGCGACAACGTTATCTGGAAGAAGTTTTGAAAGTTAAAAATGTGAAGTAACGGGGTTTTGGTGCTTAATTTGCTTTAAAATCCAACTTGGAAGTGCACGGCTAGCATCGTACTGAGTGTACTGATTTCACGGAATTCTCACATTCAAAGAAGCGCAAATAAATGTTTTGAACAGCTAATAGCAACTAAAGTTCTTTGGTGAAAGCTATGAGCAGTGAAAAGTCCAAATCCGGCAAATATACAGCGTAATACCTCGAAAATTAGTCGTTCAAAAACACTTATTTGTGTTTCTTTAGAGTGCGAGCATTCCTTGAAATCAGTACACTCAATATCATGCTAGTCATACACTCCCAAGTGGGATTTTGAAGCGGATTATGGACTAAAACCCCCGTTACTTCACGTTTTTAACCTTTCATAACTTCTTCCAGATAACGTTGTCGCAGATATGAAAGGTAGATTTGCAATCAGCTCACCAAGACGCATCTAATGATATGCGGTTCATTCCAATTCGCCACCTTAAGTTGGGATCGTTCCCTTGTGAGAGACAAAGTCGAAGGGATAAAGGGCGACTGCGAGTAGGCTCCACTCTTCAAGGACAGCTGGCTCGAGCTGCAGCTACGTGTTATGTACGGATGCGAGGGTTTGTGGCAGATGTCCGCGCCGGACTCGCCTTACGGGCGACATAACGTTTTCTTCAGTCGAGTAGATTTTCCACTTAATATAGTGTGCTTGCACTGAAGCTGAAATGCGGTAGAATTTGCGCGTGAACTAATAGCTGCGCGTGTGACGCCGCCCAATTGCGCGCAAAAGGCTGGCATTACTGGTGTGGCTACTTTTTTCATGCGCAAATTTTACCGCATTTCACCTTTAGTGCAAGCACACTGTATTAAGCAGAAAATTTAGTGGACTGTACCCAAGTCGCGGCATTCATACAAAACTGGAGTGCAAGAACTTTAATGTAAATCGAACAACCCCAATAAAAATATTTTTATTTACTTTTGTACAATCGTAAGCATAGATTTCTTATGGCACTTTAAAACAGATAAACATAGGCGTATACATTCAAAACAGAAAAAGATTCATTTATTTGAAAAAATGAAAGTTCCGGGGACGTTATTGAGTCTGAATGAGATGTGAAGTACGTTCGAGTTCGGCCCATTCGAAGTATAGTTTACGGACATGGGATTCGGGACGACGCCAATGGCGCCAGTAGAAAGTGGCTGTCGCACTTTTGACTGATCGTAAAGGGGTGTTGTACCTTGAGCCTAAAGGAAAAGTACACTGGTTTATGCATGCTCCTATTATCTAATAGATGAGATAGTCGAGATAGTGTGCGCTGTCGACAAAATTTGCGCGTAAAAAACGGTCATGGGGCGCGAAGTTCAAAAGGTGCCCTTCCAAGGATCGATTTTTATGAAAAGATGTATTTATATCAGGATTTTAGTTTTTCCGCGCTAATGTTGTTGGCACCGCAGAAGCGAACCGACTGTCAAATACTAGTATAAGTGCTCACCTCATGCACAATAGGATAAACTTGGCTGTTGAAAATGGTACGAGCGTCTTCTGCATATCCTGTTTGAATGGTGGGTTGATAGTTGAGTGAGCAATAATTGTAGACTTGTGGATTGGATGGCTGCCAACCAGACACTTGTCTGTAAAAAACATAAACAAAATTCAAAATGATTAGGTATTATTGAAATTTTGAGCGTTAGCACTTGATTTGGGAATCAACAAGCGGTACTGTAATCCATATATTCACACGAGGATGGCACGATAGACGCAAATGATCCATCAAATATCCGTTCAAACAGTACATAATCTGGCATCTACATACACCCACAGCAAGTTCTTTGCGGGACCAAGCGCGCGTCTACACACGCCCTTCGCTAGTGTAGAACGTAGCGACGCATCGCATGAGTGACGCGCTGCGGCGAGCGTCAGACTAATTGCAGCATACTGTAGGCGTATGACGGTGTCTCACGAATCCTCATGTACGATAGGATGCTAGTTGCTCATGTGTTTTCACCAAAGCCTTTTCCAAACAACCACTTACTCAGCTTATACTCATTTTTGCGAAATTTTTCGTATTTGAGTATGGCTTACCCTTCTTTTGCAAACTGTGTCCAACGTTCTCCCATTTGGTCCGCCATACGCACATCATTTGATGTTGGAGAGCCAGGCACCCAAATGGTTTCACTCATAAATAGGAAAATCATGTCCTGGCCTTTGTAAACAGCTGCAAAGGAATTCGTAATGACACATTCCTCAAAAAGTAACAGACGATCTCACGTTTCCAAGTTCCAAGATTAGGGACATTTTGTCTTCCAAGATCAGTGACGTGCGTGAATTGATACACTCTCACGTCCTGGTTGCCATTTTGCATAAAGCAGTCAATATCGGAAGCCGTTTGTGAAACGATGCCAGAATCGGCTTGAAGCTGAAAATGAACAGATGATCTGTTAGCTACAGCTTAGTAGCTTAGGCTGGACAGGTTTCGCGTTGGCGACATCACTTGCTTGTGAAGAACTCGCGTTTTATAGCCATTCATCAAACGCGAGTCGCAAGCAAGATGGCGGCATTCACGCGTCAATGGGCACTTTGACGCGCAAGTCATGGGCAGGTTGCCGCCATTTACAAGTATGGCGTTTTCTCGCGTACTTGTTGCCGTCACCGCAGGAGCACTATAACCGTACTAGGATGCAGGTACTAAAGCCTACCTTGATTATGATCTTCAATGGAACAAATGATTGATTTGTCGCTGTGGAGATCGGCACGCCTCCTGATCCATAGCCAGTCTGAAGCGGTTAATTTAATGAATATATTTTATATCCTAAAAACTAACATTCTGTTCATACTGTGGTTGATATTGGCTAGATGGCCCATAACCGCTGCTGCCTTGATTGTAGCCGCCTTGCTGGTTACCGTAACCGTAGTTCTGGTTACTGTATCCAGAACTTTGACTGGAGTAGCCGCTGTTTTGCGCATCATATCCTGGAGCTAAAGTAGAGTATCCGTTACCCTGGCTGCCGTAACCACTACCCTGCGGCACGTATCCACTGCTTTGCGCATCATATCCAGGAGCTGGAGTTGGGTATCCATTACCCTGGCTACCGTAATCACTTCTCTGCGGCATGTAACCGCTGTTCTGCGCTCCAGGACCTTGCGGTGAGTAACCTCCACTTTGAGTTGGGTACTGGCCACCACTGGGACCACCGTAGCCATAACTAGATGTGGTGTAGCCGTATCCGCCACCGTAGCCAGCATTCGGACCACTGTAGCTGATGGTTGTTTGACTAGGAGTTTCACCTTCACTTTGATATCCACTGTTTTGGGAATCGTAGCCGCCTTGTTGGTTACCATAACCCGCTGCCGGGGTTGGCGAGCCATAAGCGCCCTGGTTACTGTAACTTGGAGCTGTAGGCGAGTACCCATATATGGCCTGTTGATCTACAGAACCCGTAGGCATAGTATAGTAATAGCCAGGTGTGGTAGTGTATGGATCATACATGGCACCCTCATTTGCGTGACCAGAGGTCCCTTGAGATGGACCCTCTTGATTGGCATCGCCGATGACACCACCATATTGAGAGATGGTTCCGCTAAAAAATTATATTTGTGCTGCGCGTCAGTAAGCAAACTGCGAAAAACCCTACCTAACATCATAGTGTTGGTCCCCCGTTGTTATGTTGTAGCTTTGTGTGATTATGTCAGAAATCTGAAGTAGAGCGCGATATCCCGTGGCTGCAGATCTTTGATCGTCTTCTATTATACCTGTGCAACTGTAGAATCATTCAATTTGTTTTTCTTGGCGAAGTCCATCAACCAAGTGTTGTATAACTGTCCTTCATTTTCGTTATACTTTCCATCGGCTACCAGCTTGAAAGCTGGAACAAAGATATCGTCAAGCGAAGATGGAGAAACTAGGGTAGTCTGCTGCGATACCGTAATCCGCGTCTTCGTCTTCCACTGTACCAATAATGATGGGAATAGGTGGACGACGTACGGCTAGATTCTGTAGAGTATCGGGCAAGAATGTGTCATCTCGTACAATCATCCAGGTTGCTTTTTTAGCCTAAAATGTTTCCAAAGGAATTTAATGTTGTCGTTATTGTAAAACATGGTGCTTAAAACGTTAACAAACGCAAATATTGATGTGTTTTTGGCCCAAGAATGTCCCCACCGCTTTTCTACGATAAGATTTCTGTCATTATTTTATTGTACTTGGTCTTTAAACTTAGTACCTTGAAACTGTACCTTAAAACTTCAATACATCAAAAAAAATTTTGAACCATATATTATCTGGGCCTAAGGAATAGACAGTAAGCGCTGCCAACCAGCCAATTGCCGTTCAGGTGGGTGAAAACTCCTATCGCACCCATCTGGGCTGTGATTGGCTGATTGGCTGGCTACGAAGAGGGGCTTTCAAGGCGTGTTCCGCTTGAATGATAATAGAGAAACGTTGTCAAAAAGCCTTCAGAAATGCCAAACAATGGGCTGTAGTCGGAAATCCGAAGTTTATTTGTCAAATTTCACTTTTAGTGGGAATGAGGAAACGCGTACTGAATTTTCGCGGTTTTACCTAAAATTTTTACACTTCGGATAAATTTTTTCCCTTCAGGTTTCAGTACCTGCGGGAATTCTTGCATACACGAACTCTTTGCGAACCACCTTCGTAGAGCATATTTCGCGAACATCTGGTGAACAACTCTTGATTTTACTCAAAAACTGTGAATGTTTGTCCAGCAAATAAGGTTCAAAGATATTAGCAAAACGAAATCGAAAAACTGCCCCACTGCAGTTCACGCCATAACCATCCTTTCACACAACTCCGCGCAGTAGTCCTTTTTTAACTACCTCGTTCAGAAGTAAACACTATTTTCTGCACAGTCCAGATTTCAAGCCGGACACAAAGGGAATTGCACGCTTGCTACAACTACAACTGATTCTCAAGCAAACAAACTTACCCCTTCAGTCTTTATAAACACATCCACGGTGTAATTGTGCAGGCAGTTGCTCAAATCACCCAACTGTCCGGTGCGCCATTGTTCTGCGGTGATGTTGCAAAGCTAAAAATGGGCGTGGCGGATCCAAAAAATCACTTTGGGGTCAATAACAGTCTTACCTCCTGGGCAAGCTGCTGACTTGGGCTAACGTCATCGTAGGCAATATTCGAGGGAGAGGAGCTATAGCCTGAGTCTGCTGGGTATGCGCCATCTCCTGTGGCATAGGTAGGTCCACCACCGCCATAACTCGGGGTAGGAGTAGTCTCTGGAGGATAGCCAGTATATCCTTGCGCAGGAGGTTCCGTCTGAGTTTGTGGTAGTAGGGTAGGATAGGCGGTATAGGAGCTGGGAGTTGATGTTGTATTTTGCCATGGCACATATGACATCCCTGTGTCGTATTGTGGTGCGGCAGGCGTGGTTACGGTAGAAGAAGAAGTAGAAGTATAGGTAGTGCCCTGAGTGTCCTGAGTCGCTGGATAGGATAGAGTGGGAGAATAACAGCTTAGCAGAGGTCCACTTTGAATGATGGCTTGTTGGAAAAGATCTGAATGCATTCAGAGCTTACTTTCATTTTTTTTTCAAGGGCACTATCAAGGTAATTCTGGATGCCTAAATTTCTTGTATACACTGATAAGAGAACCCTGATCAGGCGATTGCCCAAATGGCAGTTCATAAGATTCATTTGTGACAAAAACTCAACTCTGATTCGTCCACACCGACTTTCCACAACTTTCCATGGGCGGACCAATCAGCGTTCGAGTGCTGCACACTGATTGGTCCGTGCAGAAAGAGTACGGTAATTGCGCGAGAGTCTAGTTGACTTTGTTGGCGACAAATGAATTAGGTATATGAGCTACATTTTAGGTAACGGCTTGCAAGAGTTCTCAATAAAGGTTCAGACTTGTCTGGTCACTGCTTTGAACTAGTGAAGATACTTACTCTGACTTAGTGGACTCAGTGTATGAGCAGAAACTGCACATCCACCGTATCCCTGGCCGCATAACGTGATACGTCTTGGATCACCGCCAAAGTTTGAAATCTCAGAGTTGATCCATTGAAGAGCTTGTACCTATAATAAAAACTTGGGCAAGAGCGAGCCAATTGGTACTTGTAGTCTATACCTGATCAAGCATTCCAAGGTTTGGTTGCACAACTTGCGTCGGGGCGGTGAAGAAACCTAAAATGAATTTTTGTGCATCATCATAAATAAGGTCTTTTTGTTGTTGAGAGGAGCTGTGCAGGTAAAATTTGTATTAATTTGGACGTCTTCAACGACCAACTTTATTTTATCCGTTTTATGCATTGAGCAACATCAGTGATAGCTAAATTTCTCAAACTACCCCTTCACGTAAGTTATGGTCGAAATTATACAACGGCAAAATTGCAATAGAACCTTAAAATTTACGATCCTATTCTCAAGAAAGCAAATCTGCAATTTCAGGTGGTAAGTATCGTTTCAGAAGCGAAGGATCATGCCGGAACTGTACCCAGCCAAATTATTCCCATTTTAATCACCGGGAACCATGTCAAAACGGTACGAGCCAATGACAGCGCGCAATTTGCTTCCGGTTCATTGGCTCCAGTGCGCCTCGAATCCTTTCCCTCGAAACGAGGAAGAAAATGATTTTAAAAAGCACTTTCGTAACTTGTTCGCTTTTTCAGATTATGTTGGAAATTGTTAGGCGCATCTGAGCTGATTTCTATGACCTCTTGACTGACAAAGTAGGCCCCTAAGTGAGCTTGAGCTACCGCCTACAATAAAAACTCATTTGTTTTGAAATTTCAAAAAATAGGTTTAACACATACAAAAAATCGAATTGACACTCTTGTCTAGTAGTGCATTCATGATTCGCCCTATACTCCACTCTGCCCTCCGCTCCCCCCCCCCCTCCCGCTCCCCTCCCCGCGCAGTAGGAAATGCGGTATCGGCTATGTAGCACAAATTTCCATCTCGAACAGTCCACATCTATCGATCCGAAGAAACTCGAACATGTCTGAACATGCCGTTTGGCGCGATCTGACAAGTCCGAAGTTAACATGTTAAAACAAGGTAATCAATGGTCTCACAAACTTTGAGGCGTCATTTCATCACTTGTTCACCTAGCGTGCGGCTGGCAGCGAAGGGTAAGTTTAAGCTTCGTCTGGTGTCTCTTTCCTATCTAACAACTTTCGCTTCTTGATAAAATCTTCACAAAATGGGACTTCTCGCTACTTATGCTAGAACGAAAGCGAAACAATACAATGTGTTCGTTCTGCAAGTCTTTCCATTGCGTGTTCGTTTCTCATCACGAAGCTCTTTTCGCGATCCGGCGAAAGTCACTCTGCTCTCGGGACTACTGCTCCTCGCATGTCATGCAACTACATGTGCAAAAAGAGCAGTTGTCCACGAAGGAGGCGTCCATCAGCGGTAGTTGTCTTTCTATCCCACAAAAACTGATGTAATTGGAGCAAATTGACGGAGGAGAATTATAATCTTTCGTGCACCGAGGAAAGAGCTCGAGACCTTTTTACCGTGGGGCGCGCTAACAGAACAGCGCGAGAGGGGCGCGTTCACGTTGCGAGACACATGCGCAGCGACTCAGACAGTCGAAGGGATACCTCCGAAGCGAAAATGGGAAGATCCCAGGCTCTGCCCAGCGGGGGTTTGCCACTCGTGCTCCGGAGCCCTCCCATTTTACCCATTTTGGTGCTCCAGGGCACCAAAACGCGTGAAATGGGAGGACTCCGGAGCACGAAATGGCAGACCCTACCATTTGCCCTCTGGAGGTATCCCTTCGACTGTCTGAGAATGCGCACGGATTCGCTCGCGTTTGGAGAACCATACGCCTAAGAATAAGGCACCTGCCTACTAGAAACTGGATTTAGGCAATTCTTCGCACGCATAGGCTGGAGCCATTGCTGCTGACCAACATAGTTTGTGTTTAGAAGGGACGGCAAACGGCGAGAGGGATGATAGTGCTTGTGATGTTTGATCGAAGAGACACCGACAGCGTACGCATTGGCGCCCTGTCTCTGCGTGCATGTCTCACTTTTAACTGGATTGTCTGGAATGAACTATCAAAAAGAGCAAAGACCATGAAACTGTAAATAGAAGCACCTAGATTTTCACCTCATGTCTTCTCGAAAATGCTCACCACTGCGCAGAATAGCGCATCACTCGTTGGATTCATAATTCTAAAAGATGTACACGTCCCGGGAGATGATTCAATAAAAAAAACAGCATTTTTTCCACAGTTACTGCCATATTGATCATCTACTTCAATAGCCCAGCAATTCGCAGCAGATTGAACTTATGGGGTTACCAACAATCATTCATACAGTATTTCAGATAGTTCGGACCAAGTAGATAACCGACAATCAATTCAAAAATGAAAAAACAAGCTCAGCCAAGTCGAAAACTCCAAATGCTTTCGCCGGTAAACAGCACCTCACAAACAAGTAGGTTACTTCCAAATCTTCCACAAAAACATCGATAATTTTTCTTCAGATTTTATGCTGGGCAGTGGCTTTTATCGCGTTCCCGATAAAAATGGGCGCGAAATCGTCTTGCGAAGATCGCGTCGCATCATGCAGAAGGTACGAAAACAAAGTTTTATTGGGAAGTACTGAACTGCTGGCAGATTCCCAAAACATCTAAACAGATCTCGAAACGTAGAGATGCAGCATTAAAGTATCTCTAGGCTGCCATGTACAGGCGACTCATCGCACGCAGAGATAGGACGTGGCTGCGGACGCTGTCGGAACAGTCTGCTGTCTCTCCCGAAAGCGCACTTTTAGCAGACGCAACAGCGTTGAGTCATTGCGCGCGTACCATGAAAAAGTAAACATTTTGGCGGGATTTCTTCCTTGGCCGTTGACAGAGTAAAATAGATCAAAAGTGAGAAGGTCCGAAAAAGACCACGTTGAAAAAAGAAAAATTTTGTAATTCATTGTGTTAGAAGGCCGATCAGGGTGGGGGGGGGGGGAGGGCAAGTGTTGCCGATAGCCTCCGCTCGTGCGGAGATAGTCGAAAAATGCAACTCTAAAGACTAGTAGAAGTATCGGTAAATGTGAAGTTCCTGCAGCGCCGACGTTTGCCGACAACATTCGCGCGTCAAGCATTGCTACACCCACAATGCTTGTCATTTGCGCGAGCAAATTCCCGCAGATGGCCCCTGGCGATTTTTAGATGCCTTGCGATGCATTAATATGCCTTGCGTTTTTAATGCAAAAAGGACGAGATATGTTTTCGGAAATCAATGAAAAAATTCTGAAGTTGCTCAACAAATTGGGTAAAAGGAGGCAGATCACAAGTATTGCATTTGCCAACATTCTTCATATATGAATTGAACTGAACCTTAGTTCTGAATCAGGCCAAAATTCACAACAATCCAGCCTCTGAATTTGGTGAAGCGCTGCTTCAAATTTTTGAATTTCCAAAAAGTCCGATTTCTTGGTCCAAACAGCTCATGTTAAAGAAGGACAAGCAGGCTAGTCCTTTGTCTTACCAAAATTGCGCTCCAGAGATTGCATAAGATATCGAAAACATCCTTGTCGTGGGAGTATGCAGAATGAGCGGCGCTCTGGCCGGCTTTTGAGAAGTTAATAGTTGGTCTAACCCATCACCGCCAAAATGGGTGAGGATACTCAGCCAACCAACACCGTACCATGTTAACGGATTAGCCAATCACGTCTCAAAGGCAACGTCCACCCAAAATTTCGCCCCGTGTTTTTGGCATTCCGGAGCCTTTCCGTGGCCTTGATTACAGTTGTAAAGTCCAAGTTGCCCAAAACCTTCAGAAAACCCGATTCCTGAGGAAATGTCTTGAGAGCACGCATGACTTTCAGTACATGGGGGAGCGGAGCTTGATAGGATCTGAGCGGGGCTTGATAGCACTTTGGATTCCAGGCCCATTATCTCCAATCAGAAACAACGTTAGAGAACCGGCCTAACGCAGATGCCCCTCTCCTAAGGCCTACACTGAGGACCGGCACTAAGCGGAGGGAGCTATATTTAGCCTGGACACTGCTTTTAAGGGCAAAACCCGCTACGCCCATTCCGCGGTATCCTAAAAGCGAGTTTTTAATAGCAGTTCTCTGATAGCATATTATATTTTGAATTAGAACAAAAGGCTTGCGGCTAATGTCGTCGGTTCGCTTGGATGCTATCCTAGACGTATACGTTCTGGTTAATAGGACTTTGTTTCAGGACCCAGTCGACTATACTGTTTTCTTCAGTCGTATCATAAGGCGCAAACCGCGTTACCAAAAAATTCAAATCATGAAGAGGACAACACGTCAGAGAATCCCGGTGGGTTAGAAATTTAATATATGAAGACAGCAGGCTATATGGCCATTACAGATCGGACCGCAGGATGAAGATTTCGAAGGAACACTGCACACGGATGACGCAAATCATTTTCATGGACCCTTTTGTCAGTGCGCTGGACCATTACAGGAACAAGCTGTATCTTCCATCGTTCCGCCACCACGTCCAGCTCAAGTTGTAAACGTCAAGGATACGAAGAAACCTAGCCGTGGAAGACCAAAGAAAAGAAGGGCCCCAACAAGTGCTCAGGCAAGGAAGAGGCGCCGAATGCCCAAAATGGAGTCCCCTGCCCATCGCTATGAGGGTTGCGATCCAAATATCATGGAAAGCGACGTGGATCCTAGCCCTGGAGCAATGTTGCCCCACAGCTCCTTCGAAATTGTTGATTCGGGCGAGGACGATATGAACATTTTTGTGGAAAACAACAACAACGATACTGCAAACGTTCCCACGGAGAAAGTACCCTTCCTTGTTCGCAATACAACTACTGTGCAAGAGCTTGGACCCGAAGGCGAAGTTGGCTTGCATGAAATGGGAGACCATCCCATTTCTCCCTCCGTAGGTTCAGCAAACAGTCCTCTTCCCGAGCCGGACAACATCGCACATCCCAGTAAGTTTATTTTTCCAATTTTATCTTACCACAATCCAAATTGTAGCTCAACGTTTTGCAGGTGGTAGCGTTTTGCGTCTCCCTCCGTCGCTTCAGCCTATCAGCGCACATATACTAGGTAACTTTTGTGAAAAGCTGTACCAAGTGCATAAAGGCGGAGCATCCGCTCAAAAGGTTCCTTCAAAGTCAGTGCCTCATCAAAGGCACCGTCACCCAGAACTGAGACTGGTGAGATGATGCTGTATAGTAGCGGGGCCCCATTCCTAGTTTTTTTGTTCAAGTTCCGCTGCAAAAGCTGAATTCCAAGGCGAGAAAATCGCTCCAGAAGGCAGAAGCGGCCTAGGCGGCACAGCTCATCAGCGTAGGTAGTATGAAGATCCTATGTTCAAAATTGGGCGCAAAGGTAGACAGAAATGTGGAAATTATAATGGATATTTATGACAATCGTAAAATTATTGAGGACTAACTTTGGACCTATTATTTTTAGACCGTCCACGTTGATGGGCGGTGCCGCCTAAGCCGCTTCCACATTCTGGAGCGTTTATCTCGCTTCGGAATTCACCTTTTGCAGCGGGATATAGACGACCAATAAGTTAGAAGGACTGCTATTATACATCATCGTTCGGGCCAGATGCGGCTCTGTGAGCCAATCTAATGGCATCGTCCACCCAGATTTTCGACTTTCATGTTTTTGTCGTTTCAAGGCCTTCTCATGTTCCTGATTCCAAATATGAAGTCGAGAATGCTCGAAAACCCCGACAATCCCCGTTCCAATAAGAACCATTAAGCCGGCTTACCGGAACCGTGATTGGATGGATGCGCACAAATGGGCGGGCATGGATGGGGGTTCTCGTGCATCTCCGCTATTCCGAAGCGATTTTTCGCTTCCGAAGCGGCATTTTGCCCCGCGACTTGGGCATTGGATTGATAAGGGGCCCTACTATTATATGCTGCCAAAAGCTCAACACCCTCAACTTATGGTGGACGGTGCCTTTGAGTGCAGCTTTCCCGGCTTAAAATGGACCGGATCGAGTTGATTCGATTGGACGGTGGCATGCCAGGCATACCTTAACAAAATTCGTGGAAATTCCTAACGCAAAACGGCTGTTAGTTGCCGTATTGCGAAGGCCCGCCCCCAAAGGAAGAATCCGTCTGAATGGGCGGGGCGTGTCCGACTTCGACCAAGTTGTCACCTTGTGGGCAGCATGGATTCTAGTTGGATGTGGCCCGAGATGCCATTCCGAAAGTGAACCTCAAAAATAGAAGTAAAGCTCTTACGCTTTCGACGCATTTTACCTGCAGTACAAGCACAATATTTTGAGCGATATGTAAATAATCATAATAATTGGAATTTGATGGAAATCTAAACTAGCCAAATTTCTCGCGATGATGCTACCACGCCCCCTTTCTCTGAAGAACTACAGACCCGCTGAAACTCCGGAAAGCGACCGAAAAATTTTTCCGGAAAGTGGCCGTAGGATCTAATGGCTTACAGCGCCGAAACTCCGCATAGATTATTAGGTCGTTCTTTGTAAATCATTACAGAGACTATGGATCAGCCCGGTCCATCACAGCCAAATGTACATCTCTCCGAAAGTCAGCGACGTCGACGTACATGGTCATTTATTAACCTGACAGATGCTGTGAGACTGCAAAATTGTAAGTTCTTCAAATTTCCCGCGGCACCAAACGCCTACGAAAAGACTATTTCAGTTCTTGATTGGACGATTCCTTACTTGACACCAGGAAGGGCAAGTTCGCAGTCTACCACCGAACCCGAATCGACAGAGGGCGCAAGTACGCAAAATCAGGTAAAGAGCATAGAATATCACGAAAACAAGGATATGAAATGTGTTTTTGCAGGCCCCTGCACCACTGGAAAGAAGCAAGAAGTCGAAAAAGAAATCCAGAAAATGAAATAACAGGATAGATCAATTCCGGACTTCTGGTGGGTATAAATGATTGCTTCTGCTCGTCTACAGACGCAAAAGATTATTTTTGCGAAAATTAACAGTCGAGTAGATTGTTGATATAGTGCTTTTACGATGCCGAGATTTTGCGGTAAAACATGCGCGTGAACACATAGCTAAGGCTGAAATGCCGGCATTCTGCGCGCGCCAATTGCCGGCATTTCAGGCGTAGCTGTTTGTTCACGCGCAAGTTTTGCTGCAATATCTCGGCACTGCAAGGACAAAGAAAAATGTTTTTTTTTGGAGATAAAAAGAAGACACGAAAAAGATTTCTGCATGAGCGTGCATTGCAGCCACAGTCTCCGCGAAATTTTTGGAAAAAAATTTTGAACAAGGATAATTTCAATTTGACTTTCTGAAATAAATCTAATTGTTAATACGAGGAAAAGGGGGGGGGGGGCGGGGAGTGAAAGCACGAGCTATCTATAATGGATGTAAATTTTTTGTTATGTGTTGCCCTTTGCTTGTGTTTCATCTCAGAAGTGTAACCCCTTACTTTTGAGGAAATATTTTAGCAGCTGCAGACAATCTGGACGGACAAGTCACTATCGGAGAGCTCTTGTCTTGTTTCAAGATTGCAGAGCCTTAGATTACTTCGTGTCAAGCTTTACGGGTTTCAACGTTCGCATATCTTTTGTAAATCTACCTCGTAGAACGCTTTTTCAAAATATTACCTCTCTTTTTCAAAATTAATCTCATTGTGACCTCATTATTTTTTTGTACATGTATTTGATTTAGTATAGCGACTTGCAAAAAGACATTTTTGCACATTTTCCTTCAAAGATTTCTTTGCCACACTTCGAGATTTGAAGCCAGCCATCCTCCTGTAAAATTATGCCTCATAAAACCAGTTCATAACTCGATGATGAAATGGAGTCCTCTGTGACATCAAATTATTTGGTATAGCAGGTATATTTGGTATTTCTATCATATGCACACTTGATTCAAACGTAAATAGTAACTTGCAAAAAAGGTTTCCAGAGATTCCTTTCCAAGAATTCTGTTTATACTGTTTTTTCAGTCCTTTTCTGTTCGTACATCTAGCGTTACTTGTTCATATCTTTTGTCGTAACGTTTTTTGTGTGTTATTGTTTTTCTTGCCATTATTTGTAAACGTCTTTGAAAGCTTTGAGTGAAATGGTCACTCAAAAGATTGCGTTCATGTGTATTAAGAGCGTATTCTTGTTTTGTGTTTACTCCTGTATTTATCCAGAAAGTTCTGTCTTTTTTCGTTACATAGTACTTTTCAATAGGTATCTACAGGTGAGCCATCGCACGGAAAGAATGGACGCTGTGGCGCCCGAGCAACAGACAATGAGAGGGATGAGAGAGCGTTTGATTAGGGAGACGCCGACATTGACCGCAGAGGCACTCAGTCTCTGCGTGCGATGACTCGCCTATAGAATATTCAATGGCATTGTTAGTAGCATAGAATAGTAGAATAGTAGCATTGTTTTTGATAGTAGCAGTGTTTTTCAATAAATATGTATTTGCAAAAAGGCCACCTAACTCGCCAATTTGCCAATGGTCAGCATGTAATCTAGTACTATAGTACAAGCCTTATCCTAAAACACGATTATTTTTATTTGGCCCGACAAATTTCTCGTGCCACCTCGGTCACCTCAAACCCATACAAGGTCCTGAATTCCTTTACCTGCGAGCGGCCACGAAAATGCAATCTTAATGGTACACCTTGACGCTCTAAGATACCGCTATAAGAATTGGATCAAAATACTCATCTTCTTGATTGAAAGTGGGACAGAGCATTCGATATGGATCGACGCAACCGCTTTGCTAGAGGGTTGCGTCACGTATGCGAGCGCAGGGGCGGTGGCAACTTGCCAATCAGGGATCGAGAGGGCGGGACGTAGGCATGGGTCCAGCACGATATCAAACGGCCCAATTTTTACGTATACCGGGCAGAAACGACTACACTAGGCTATTTGTGTTGTTTCAATTTGATTGCACGCAGTATTTGAACTCCAGTAGTGAAAATTATCGCAAAACAGAACTCACCTAGGGCTCCTAGCCGGTATTGTAGTGTTACACAGACAACACCGCGAGATACGAGATTTCGCACCATTCCTTTCTGAGTCGTCGAATCCCAGCCACCTTGCCCAAAACCATTGGCACCGTCGATGAACACCATAACTGCGGCTCCGGGTTGAGCGCCAGCCTGGAACGTATCAAAATATTCAAAGCACTGTAGGAAGAAAGACGACTGAGGTGCAAAAATGTAAAAAAAAGCAAGAATCTCTAGCAGGTACAAGGAAGCATCTGGAACCCTTCAATTCAACAAAGGTTGTCGGCTGGAAGGGGGGGGGGGGGGTCACTGAGAGACGTGGACCGCAGCTGGTGCGAGCGGTCGCCTTCCAGCCGCTACTCTCGTTGAATCAAAGGGTAAGTTTTCGTTCGACATATTACCCCGTGGGTGACGACAACACTTGTGCGTCTATAACGGCTATATGGCCTATAATCTCAAGCTTTGCAGCCCATGGCCAATTTTGACGCGCAAAGTTTAGCGGCACCGCAAAACCACTATATCGAAACAATACTGAATGTATGTAACAAGCGAGCGATAATAAGTGAAAACTTACCTTAGGTGTAAATATATTCAGATACAGGCAATCCTCATTCACATAGTCTCCAGCATACAACTGCGGACATTTGGGCCTGTAGTAGGTCGCGTCGTAGATTTGATTGTATGGAGCGCAATCTACGGCCCTCTGTAAACATTTATCGATTAGATATCGTGATACTGTGGGTCAGAAAAAGAGGCTTACCTTGAATCGCAAATCTCCAATTGGTGCTCGGGCATAGGGTACACCAAGGAAAATATCAGCTCGTCCATAGTAAAGTTGACTTCTATCGTTTCCTTAGAAGAAATAATTTGGATGGATGTATAGGCTGCTGCACGACGAAGGCGCTCTTCTTTCTTCTCTTCATCTTTAGGCGCGAACGCGGTTTTATCAGCCGCAGAGCGCATGAGACGCAGGAGAATATGCGCGCGCCTCGTTCGCGCCCATTCAACTAATACCGCTTCTGCGCCATCGTCCTGCAGTAGCCTTTGAGTGGAATCTGGGAGGTACCTACCGTAATCTACCGTACGACCTTGTACAATACCATAAGACGTTTTGACAGTTACATAATTCTGTGCAACTACAATACCCGTAAATGACAGCAGCAGTATTATCATGACAGAGATCTTTCTGGAAGTAAATTTTATGATTTTTCCAGCATAAAAGGCCCGATTCGAAAGAAATGCTGACGGTCACTTGTTGGCATGGCTATGGTTGTAATACAGTCCGTCGATGCCTACGAGTCTTGGTGATGCGGACGATGCCTGTGAGTCGCGGCGAAACGAAAGCAAATTTACTGCGGTAAATTTTTCCTCACTCAGCGAAGGCAGGAAGCGTCAAGTCATCTAACCCGCAAATAAGGAAATAAACACAAGATAGCGCCGCTCGCACTTAGCCTGTCATACAGTTTACCATTTGATTCAACTGGCTTGGCGGAAGGCGGGGCTTCGTGACCTAATTAAGGCTAAGTAATGGTCAGAGTGCACGCCGCGGGAGAGACGCAGACTGCGTCGCGGGCGCGAGCGACCTTAATTAGGTCACAAAGCCCCACCTTCCAGCCGCCTAGCCAGTTGAATCAAAGGTTACTCACAGATGTTGAGCGAACAGGAAAATCAATGGAAAGGCCCAATGTTTAATGTAAACCATAGAGAAGACATGGACGAGAACAATGCGAAAATCAGCAAGCAGAGAAGCTAAAGCTTTTTCACGAACGCACTAACATTCCACTGGATATGATGGTTGATAGGCGACAACATTTACGCGATGGCGACAACATTTACGCGATGGAGATGGCCATTGGATGGAGGACTTGAAAATGCGCACTCTAGTGGTATTTTTACGTGCAAATGTTGTCGGCTCCGCAAACACACTACTTTTTCGACGAATCTATTGAATTGCAAGCAAATGCAAATCAAAATACAGGGCCTTGTAAGCGTCTTTTCTACTCAAGTATGTCCGTAATAGTATACGGTTGAGTAGATAATATAGTTGTCACAAAGGGAATTCTCATCGAATGAAAGAATATTGAATATTTGATTTTTGAAAAATTTTCGAACGAATGAATACCGAATAACTGAAATTCGAAAATTTTTCACATGAATGAATATTATTTGTCCGATTTTTATATTAGGTTGTTCTGAAAGTTCTGTCGTTTTGGTTTTGAAAAATTCGTAACTGCTCCCTATGTGAACGTATTTAATTACAAAAATTTCTACAGATAAAGAAACTCATCTAGTTCCTAATAACATCTTTGCTGCTCTTTGACAGCAGGTGACTCCAGAGATAAACACCAGAAAAGGAAAGTTGCCTAAAGTCCCGATTTTCGAAAATAAATCGTCGAAAATTTGGACGTTGCAAAAAAATCTGAGAGCATGGTGTAGGTTTTGTGAGCTGCTCTTTCTAAAGTGCCAAGTTTGGTTGGTTGAGTTTTTCTATGAAAAGTTATGATTTTTGTGAAAAATGCAGAAAAATGTTTTTTGCATTTTTTACAAAAATCATAATTTATAGAGCTCAATCAGCACAATGTTGGCGATGGTAGAAAGATGCTCTTTTTTAATGATATTTATCTCTGGGCCTTTTTTATTTCTTGGACTATTTGAATAATCTAATTATTTGACTTTTTCGAATTCGAATAGTATATTTCGAATAAATTATTCGAATACGAATATTCGGTTCCAACTGTAGTAGATAATGCGTGCAATTGCACAATTCTCCGGATCTTGTCAACGGACCTATCCCCCAGGTAATATATACATAAAGTATAGTTATTTACACCTAATCAAGCATGACTTCCAAGCAGCCAAATAAATCCAAAAAATGTAAATATAATATCCAAAACTGGCTGATCTTGGAAAATCTGCAATTGCACACACTATCAAAGAGACCTACTCGACAATAGACGAATGCTAAAAAATGGGATTGTGAGTCACGAGTTATGAACTGCAAAGATTTGCGAAAGCAACGTATCAAATACTGCGCAGAAGTTGGCGAGCACACAGAGCTGACACACAACGGCAGCGATGCCGAATGTCATGGTACATATAGGCGGCGTGAAGTCGGTTAGTCAACCGACTCGGTTTGTTTACCTTCACGAAAAAACGATGCTTTGATTGGATGTCCTCTAACTTTGAAGTAGGATGAAACATTGAACAAATAACGTCTCAATTTTGTCTGCTTTTTCTACACTAACTTTGGAGTACAATGTGAGATTCTTGGCTATTTTACTAGGGTGAGTCACCACTTTCAAGACGTCAACTGTCGTCACAGTATAGAGTAGTTCAACAAGTACTTATAGGCGACTCGTCGCGCGCAGAGACAAGGCGCCAATGCGGACGCCGTCGGCGTCTACTAGCGCGCGCTTTCATTTTTCTAGTTGTCTACTTCTCTTTCAAGGGCGAACTATCTTGGCAGGACGCAACGACGTCTAGTCTTTGAGCCATGGCTCGCTCAACAGCATAGTTGTCTAATGCACGAGATGTGCGGTATTACACGACTTCTATGTTTGAAACTTGTGATTTCCACTGATTTTTCTGTTCATTCTTTGATTCCGAAAACCATGGACTCAAATTGGTGTAAGATCGTTTTTCAACATTTCGTTCCATTGAAATGGTTTTCACTGACCTGCTTACGGCAATTACTCGTGAATTACTGCGCAGAATGTGCAAATTCAGATATTAAATTGCAAATGATTCTTGTATAATTACAGAATCCAGATAATAATCAAAGTATGAGCAAGATAACGGACAATGGTGCATGGCAGCTTTCGTGTGTTGTTTGTCGCCTGCGTATCCTCTTTCCATGTTGCCTTTCTACGACTCAGAGGCGGCATCGCGGTCGGATTGCAGTTTCTGCATTTCCTGCGTAGGCGAAATAAGTGCGCCTATTTTCAGTGCATCTTTTTATTAGGTCGTTCCGAAAGTAATGTCGCTTTTTTTCAAATGAACGCCACTTTCTATCGAATCAAGATTTTCGAGAGTTCTTATGAGCATTCGATGCATAATTTCATCCTCTTTCTATTAGTTATGATATCATTGTATAATATTCATCGAGCTCTCGAAAAATTACCAAAATCTGCGACTCATGCTTTTTGCCATGGTCAAGTTCAGCATTTTTCTAAACTTTTGTACCTATTCTCCGAAGAATTGCAAGTGACAGATAGATAGGGCAAATCCTATAGAACACAAAGTAATTTTTTCTTTTCCTTAGCTTGCTTCTTAGTGCTTCCTAAATGACTTTTTCAATGCTATCATCCATATTTGGTCAACTCAAACCTCACAGAACAACAACCGGCAAGCAACTCGGGTGCCATTCGTCGCAGCTTTTTCTCCTCCTTTTACCAGTTGTTTTTGTTTTCCGATTCATATAGTTTTCCGGGGTAAAATCATCATATTTCAGGTTTTCCAAGGCGCCCCAGGCTGTACCCGGAATTTTTAAAAGTTGCTAATCTGAAGCGGTGAATGCTCATTTGGTTTGTAAAATTAGTGTCAAACCGTTATCCATCTTTGTAAGTTTCAAAATCTGAAGAGTTATTGGTCTTTGATGCATTTGTGTCTGAGACGAGCCTGCTAAAATTCGGTAATTCCATCAGAAAATCTATACAAAAATTATGACGAGCTCTGAAAAGTAGAAAAAAGTTGTGCAGTCTTCTGTAGGGTTTGTTGCATCCATCCTTTACTTGGACTCCTTCCGAGGGTTGTTATAAAAATTTAGAAAAATTGTGAAACTTGCCCTTCTCAAAAAGCATGGGTCGCAGATTTTGATAATTTTTCGAGAGGTTATTCAGTTTTGTGCGGTAATTATATAACCATTAGAAAGAGAATGAAATTCTGCATCAAATGCTACAGAACCTCTTACATATTTTTGTTCCACGAGATGTGGCGCTTGTTTGAAAAAAGCGACATTACTTTCGGAACGACCTAATACATACATTGTTTTTTGAAACTTCACACGTGACTTATTCGGTGGAATTAATCCACGTTTAAAGCAATATAATTTTCAACAAGTTACTTAATTTTGCTAAGTTACTTAATTTTTATTTTAATTTTTATATTTTGTTACATTTTTATATTTTTATATTTTAATTTTTATATTTTTATATTTCTACTTGATTTTTGCTTTAATTTTTATATTTTATTATATTTTTATATTTCTATATTTTAATTTTGCTAAGTTACTTTTTTGAGACAATACGGACTTTACTCTCGTGTCTTTTCCCCAAACTGTTAAGTAAATACTGTAAATAATGTGTGAAAGTTTACAACAAAGTTTCTCGCACTTTTTTTGTGCACAAACTCTTGTACTTGATGACTCAACTTCTCAAATCCTAGACTCTTCAAAAGTTATAATCATTATTTCCAAGTTGTGATAGAAAAATATGTGAGATTTTTTTTCAACAAAAATGATCTCTATCAATCTTATTATTGGTCTCCGCCAAGACCAACCAAAAGATTCCAACTATGCCAAGATTTCTGGACAGTCGACCATGACTTCTGTAAAATAATGGCTTTTTCACATGAAATTTTCTAGGAAATTTCTTATTCCGGAGTTTCGAGACTGTTAGCTCCCGTTTGCTTCCTGCAAAGTTGCTCTCAATTAATTTCTGATGTGCGCTTTGATCTCACAGATTTTTCTCCGTAATCAAGTGACTCAGGGTTGTGTGGAGTAAATATTGAACAGGTTTGCGTTTCTTGACATACCCGTGGATTTCGTTCATCCTCCGTCAACAGCGATGAGGTGTGAGACATTAGATTGAGATAATTATAGAAGGATCTAACTAAGCTTGCGAAAGTAAGGTCTAATCAAATCTCTTAAGAGTCGGTTCAATAGAATGGCTTTCACTAGCACCGGCAAAAAACAAACCTGAGATGAAAAATATAACATTAAATACAGTTATGCCATATGGCTTCATTGCATCTCGTTTTTGCTAATTCCGCTGCCGTCAGCGAGAATCCAAATCTTTAATCTTGGACATCATGCACTTTGTTGCTTGCTTTCCTGCTATATTTTTTTCAAGTTGTCTTAACACGACGTTTACTTTGCCTCTAAGTTAAGTGTTTACAGATATATTCCAATCTCTTCTAAAGACTTGTTCATCTCTGACTTGTAAAGAAGGGTACCACAGCTCCCCTTCTTTACAAGTCAGAAATAGGCCGTTGCTCACGTCAGTTAGTCCTGACACGATGCTATCATATTAACCAAGCCACGCATATTAAACGTGGTCCTCCGCTTTCTACACAATTGTTATTAAAGGCACCGTCCACCCAAAATGGAGGTTGGCGAGATTATGATGGCATACTAGTGTGGGCCCTCATACTAGACCAACCTCCAACCTTCGCCGCAAAAGACTGCTTCTGAAGCGAGAAATCCGCTCCGGAAGTAACAAAGTGGGCGGGGCGCCCCCGGCGGTCCACCCAACTCGAATTCAATGTTTTTGTCGCCTTCAGGCCTTCTGAAAGCCCTGATTCCGAATATGGAGTCGAAAATTTGCGAAACCCCCAAAAATCCCTGTTTCGAGAACCCTCTGCAACAAGTGCAGGCGAGATAAAGCATGCAAGTGGGCGGGGCGGCCGGGGGCGCCCCGCCCACTTTTGTTTCTCGGAGCGGATTTCTCGCTTCAGAAGCAGTCTTTTGCGGCGAAGCTTGGGGATTTGTCTAGTATGGGGGCCCACAATAGTATGTCATCATAATCTCGCCAACCTCCATTTTGGGTGGACGGTGCCTTTAAGTGCTCATTTTTTCCTACATCAACAGTTTTCGTTTTTCAATATTCACACCCATTCCGACTTAAATGATCTTGTAAAGCAGTCCAAGCAAAGCGGATTGTATTACTGTAGAAGTGGCTGCATGTGTGTAATTGCGTATATGCGCCAGTTTTTGCCGCCCTTGACCACTTAAAGGCAGAGTACATCCAGAATCTATGCTACCCTTCTCAATACGATGTATATGTAGGGACCAGAAGAAGACCAACTGCGTTGGTCCGGTCTCCCAATATTGCTTCTAAGGGGAAAAAGCGCGCCTGATTATTTTGCACTCCGCCCCTTTGTTTGCGGTCCGCCTCCTTTGGACGAATCTACGACAGCATAAGCTGCAGTTGCAGTTGCAGGTGCTTGCAGTTGCTTTTTGCGGTCGGCCACCTTCGGACGACAGCATACGCAGCAGTTGCAGTTGCAACTGCAAGCTTCATGCAGTTACAGCTGCTCCTGGGCATGCCGACGGGGTCGAGCAATTCGAAACTCGTCCGCCCTCTGAAGAGAGGGTTCTCGGGAATCGGGGTTTTTTGAAGGTTTTAGAGAAATTGAATTCTATAGCTGTGATCAGGGCCAGGAAAAGCCGATGACAAAATCATTGGAGGCGAGATTTTAGGTGTTTGCTGCCTTTAAGGGTTTTTTGGGGTGTCCATCATTCCTGTGCGCATTGTTGCATATAGCCTGCTAGGCCCCAGAAAGGTTTTGCAGACAAACTTAGATCCTCCAAGTACTGACGAAGAAAATTTACTTGCATGATTTCACAATAAATGTAGGCCACTCTCGATGCTTTTGGATGTTTAGATTGTTCCCTGGAAATCTTGTACGTGTACAAACGCTCAATCAGAATAATATTTGAACATATTTGCTCAGCAATCCGGATTTTTGTGATATATGTTGTGATTATTATGATCAGTGATCAAGCATATGACTCGGCATTAGTACACATGATTATTTCTATTTACAAATCTCCTCAAAGGTGTGGTAGGCAAGCACTCATTAGCATCAGCCCCATTTGGCCCCAACCACACCTTGAATCTGACTGCTTCTTGGAAAACATTTGCTATTCTTTATCGTACAAGAACAAGGTGATAAACATATGAATTTACTTGAATCACAGCTAAAGAGCAGACAGATAAACGCCCAGGATTTTCGAATGCAGCTCAATCAAGATACAATTAACGAATACAAAAAGACTCAATACCCGCAAAAGATATTTGCAGACGTAGCACATAAATGAACAAGAAGAATGAACGTTGTATAGCTTCTCACAAAGCCCTAGATGAGTGTTCAAAACACGAACTGGACATGATTGAGGACCCGGCATGGTTCGAGTCTAATTGGACTTTATTTTTACTCTCTTCGTCTGCATATCCACAGATCATGTGGCAGTCTGCCAATTTCTTAAAAATGCAAAAGCCGGCACTATGACCAGTCCGTGCTTAGTCCAACTATAAAACTGCTAACTATCAAGAGATAAGTTACTGAAGGGTGAAGCCATAGAGGAAGTGAAATAAGGTCAAAAAGCACTTGTCCGCTACAGTCTGTCTTAACTGACAGTCAACTGCATGACGCGCACTCGAAGTATCGCGCTGCGAGTGCGCGGCGTGCCTACGTTTTCGATCCTAATCAAGACAAACTGTACTTCTATGAACAGGGACATTCAAAGATAGTGATATGATTTTAAGAGACGAGTAAAGAGGAAGAGAAATGCAAACTCTAATACGCACTTCTAGGCGGACATAATTCAACTATAATTCTTTGGAGTCTTACTGCTAGATAGACATACACCTTCTTCTCAAAGACTATGTCAAACAAGATTTTCCTTTTCCGAGAAAAAGGTTCTTATGACGAGTATTGGTACTATGACCAAACATCAGCTTGATACCGTCGTTGTCGTTCCAGATCTTTGAATAGCTTCGTTGCTTCTTCTTCGGTTTTACCGCCTACTTCACGGAATATACGTTGCACAGTATATTGTACATCGCGAGCCATGTTTCGTGCATCACTAAACATCAGTTTTCAATTGAAAATTTTTGAACCTTCTGAAAGAAGCGATTTGATCGAGTGCGCATACATTGCAAATGCAGAGCAAACAATCATTCCGCATGTGAAAGTTATCAAAATAAAAGACTATTAGCAAAACTCAAGACTAAGCTATGCCTTCAAGTGCAGAAAAAGCAAGAGATAGTAATTCTGATGATGAACTAACCCGCATACGTAGATATGTGCACCAGCTTCGATAGCCGCCCATACTTTTTCACGATTTTCCCAGAGTTTGTGCTGAAACAGTGATAGCATTATCTGAATACATTTCTATGGTTATTCATTATTCAGTGCAGAAAAAACAAATGATGTCAATTTCATTATAAAATACATAACTTATACTGAAGAATTTGTACCGTCTTGAAGATTTTTGAAAATTCTAGCTTGTTCATACAAAAATGGCTATTATATCCAAGCAAAAACTAGTATTTCCCGGCCAAACTGCTAACCCAATTTTTCTGGCACATGTGGAAGTCCTTCTCTCCCTTCCCACTATATTTCTCTTTCTTTCTCTTTCTCTCTCCCTCCCTTCCCACCATCCCTCTTCAATCTGGAGGGCTATAGGTGGAGAAGCGACATCCACGCCCGATCTAGAGAGGAGTGGGCGCACTGAAAGCAGAGATGGGGAGGGGAGGGGAATCAGATTGAATAGTTATAGTTTGAACACTTGCATTAACAAGAAAATCATCAAAGTTCACTGCTGAGTGTAAATTACAGACATGGCTGCTTGTCGAGGAACGAAAATTAATATATCGATTGATTTGCGAAGTTTTAGGTCCAAAACATACCTGTACATAAACTTTATGGTCTTGTGTTCGTGAAAATGCGCAGACCAGATCCGTGATCACTCCTTCGGACACCATTTGTTCTATCTCATCCTTGTATATAAAATCTTCTTCTGGATGACGACATCCGTAGTAGAGCATCATTGGTCCGGTCTCTTTGCCTACAGAATAGCCAAAATAGCATAAGCACTCCACTGAGAGCTGAGACACACAGCACCTACCTTGATCTTTTTGGAATTTTCGCTCTTGGATGAATGCTCTGAACGGTGCAAAACCAGTTCCAGGACCGATCATTATGACTGGAGTAGTGGTTCGATGAGGTAAGCGCATTTGAGATTTGCGCACAAACACGGGCGTGTGGTCGTTCACATTCTGCAATAATCAATAATCAATATTGTTTAATAATCGTGAAATAAAAGAATTATGCGCTGGACAACTAATTTATAAAAAAAAGTTTTGAAGGATCCCTTGTCCAAACAGCAGCTCATATGATAAAATCATGGCCAATCAAAAACCCTCAACTCTCGCCCAATATCGTAGGAAGTCGCCTGGTCCACTTCGAAGAATACGGTATTGGGTAAAAGTTCAGAGACGAATCTCTCTGCCATTGATTCATATGGGCTGTTGCTTGATCAGTGGCTCACTCCACATGAGAACAAAACTGAGAAATAATGCTCACCTTTCCCAATAAATAGTTCGTACAGACTCCTTTGATTAGTCTGTCGCCTACAGTATACCTAGTAATGATGCAACAGATGGCAATTCGATTTTCTTTGTGCTTGGGTGATGAAGCGATACTGTAGTAACGCGCCTAAAACCAGGAAAAAATTACATTATTGATTTTTAAACGAGTTGGATGTAATTATTACTTCGAATAAAAGATACTAGGCCTTATAACAGTTCTTCCAGTTTCAGCTAATTTCATAAATGAGCAAAAAGCGGGGGGGGGGGCACCCAAACCCCGCCCACTTTTGCTGTAGTAAATGAACCAACCTGTAGACGTGGCAATAATTCCAACAGGTACTCAATTGGCGGTTTGCAAGTTGGATGTTCTCGAAGTACGTCAATAATCGATCTACGTTCTTTCACGATGTATTGCGAGTATTCTTTCTGCAATTACGGACTATGGCAGCTGCTTTACACAAGGAATAAAATAACTCACCAATCCCTCCTCATTAGCTGTAGACAACAATGAAAGATGCAGTTTCTCTCCTTCATCTGTACAATATTCACTGATAGCCTAAAATTCGAAAACTCATTTTCGCGGGGCTACCGTACCACTACCGTATTTGCTTGCCTTTAGTACGTGACTCTTCATTGGTGCACATATGTCAACGTAGTGTGTAAGGGCCGTACGATAGGTGCAAGGGCAAGGGAAAGGATTTCTTTTTGAAGATTCTTCATCGATATTGATTAATCGGAACGCCTGTAAGCAAAATAAATTCTATTCTCCAGATCAATAAATCAATAATCAACTCACTTGCTCAGGATTAAAGTCTAATAGTGAGATCATAGCTTCTACAAGCTCTGGGTCATTGGTGGGAAAAACTGCGAGGTGATCGCCAGACTCGTAGCGAATACGCGAACCTAGAAAAAATGTCAGTGCTACACAAAAAATCGATAAAATCAATACTCTACCTTCAACAGCGAATTCGATGTGTCGACAACTGCGTTCGCTTTTCTCTGTGTGTAATTCGCGATTTTCGACTATAGTAGCTGGGAATGGATTCTTCTGATCAAACGGTGGTCGAAGTCGTTCAAATGCGCCAAGTCGAGCATACTCTCCCTGAGAAAGTTAGTTGTGAATCACAGTAAATGCGCCAAAATTTTTACCTTGAACAGAGTGACGTTGGCATTTTCATCTACTAGCTCTAGTCGATATTGTCGGAGTGTTTCAGCATCGTTGTTAAGTTCCCAGCCGAACTGTTGCGCGACAGTGGGTAAGAAAGCCTCGCGCCATCTGAAGATAAAGTATTGTTGATTAGAAAAAAAATCGTGTGGTAAAATGTTTCAGCTGAAGTAAAACAAAGCGATGGCGGGCGACAAAAGCGACAAGGGCGGCAATGAGCGACAAGTGGCGACAATAAGCGATATGAACGCAGATTCGTAGAACAAGCTCCGTAAAAAAGCAATATCAAAAGAAATTTGAGATGAAGATAGAATGAGCCAATCACAACTTAGATTTGGTGATTTTGTAAAAAGTAGACTACAGATAAGACTGGGATAAAGGGCGAGGGCATATGCAAGGACGAATACTTAGATTCAATGTCATGAAGTAAAATTCTCGTAATTAGCTATCAACGCGAAAAATTCAAATTTGTTGAAAACTGAGACAGTAGGTTCTAAGAGTAAAGGAGTGTAGAGAAAGAAAAAAGTAAAAACACCAACCTCAGGAAATCTTCTTCAAGATTCGCATCATCGTCTCCTTGACCGAGTACAAATGCTCTTTCTGCTCCCAGCTCTTCCATACGCTTATCGAAAAGTATGCCGACAGCATTAAAATGCTCATAGGTCTTATTACCCAGCCCAAAGACCTGAAAAGCAGAACCAACTTTTCATTTGGAAACATCCGAGGAATTGTATGGAAACAGAAGTTGGATATGAAAATCAACTCACTGCATACTTGACTCCTTTGAAGTCGATGTCTGTCGTAGTGATGTATTCATAAAGTTGTTGGGCGTTATCTGTTGGGTCACCTTCACCATATGTGGCCATACAGAATACTACCAAACAATTTTCAATTTCTGAAAGAAAACAAATCAATCACTAGAGTTAATGATGAATGGAGTTACTATCTTTTCCCAGATTTTCAATGAATATGACAGAACGGTATTTGACATTAGGTAACCACCCTTCGATTTTAAGCGGAAAAATGGTAGAAGAACTCTTCCCTCATAAAGATCTCAACAGCTCATTACCGCACTCTAATACGAATGATATTTACACCATAGTTTTGAACTTCTGTATAAATTTTTCAACAATGATTTCTTCCCCACCCCTCCCTCCCGTATATCACATATTTCTGAAGTCGTGAAGTTGAGAGCAACACTTGAATAATTTCACTTACCGGGAAGTCGTGCCATGTCATCAACATCAATTTCTTCAGGATCGATGACCAAAGCCTGCAAAATAAACACAATGATGTGAAGCAATTTTTTTCAAATACGTAGTTTGAAGGATTCTTTTCGTCTTCGATCAGCTCACCTTCTTCGCATATCGTGTGAAATCTTTTGCTAAACGACCAGAAAGCTCTTCAGCTGTACCCGTTTGTGAGCCATACATAATCAATACCTATAGAATGCTCGACACTTTATCCAGCTGAATTACTATGAACGACACTTACTTGTCTATTTTCATTTTTCATACGAGCAATGAAAGACATATCCTTCGGCTTGGTTATGGGAGTTATTGGTGTTATATTGGGAGAATACCTGAATAAACAGATTGAAATATCCTCAAAAACTCGATTCGGCTTCTGTTGAATTTATTTAGCTCCACATACTGTTTTTGAACAAATTTTGAGCAATTGGATTAGTTCTCAAATCGTAATATATTTTGTGAAACTTTTTGATTCATTTTAATTTCTTAAAGGAAGCGTCCAGGCAGATCTGGACCTATGGGGATTTTACGTGGAAAGTACATTTGCGGCCCTAACTAAGGCACTGCCCACACGGGAGCGCAGGTAGTGCTCTAACGGCTGAGATATTCCCTTCGAAACTGGACCCCGCGATCGTATTCGCATGGATTCATGGCATTTTCGCGCCAGGATCCACGCTTTGCGCCATGAATCCATGCGAAATACGATCGCGGGGTCCAGTTTCGAGGGGAGTATCTCAGCCGTTAGAGCACTACCTGAGCTGCCGGTTGGGCAGTGACTTAGTTCGGGCCCCAAAATTACTATTCACGTGAAATCCCCATGTGTCCAGACTTGCCTGGACGCTGCCTTTAAGACGCCTTTTTACAAGGAAATCGGAGTAAATAAAATGACTTCTTAATGCCATTCAAGAGCATTTCAGAAATTTTTTTGTATTATTAGAATGATTTGTATAAAATTTATTATGTGAGGAAAAACTGAGCTTACTCACCTTGATGGACCCGATCCTAGACGATATTTTAGTACAAAATATAGGCCTCCAATCATTAGTGATGCTAGGATAATGATATCCATCATATCTAATTGCGAGGCTAACCATTCCCACATTTTCTAAAAGAAAGGCAATATGTAAAATGTAATAGAATATTGCATAATTGCACCAGAGTTCTTGAAAACTTATAGCACATCAATATATAGGAATACACAAAGGCAAGGAGAAAAAGTAAATATTTCCTGAATCTTCACTTCCCCGCCTCATGGTACCGGGACGAAAAAGGTTTATTTTGCTGACTATTTCGAAAAAATAGGATCAAAAGAGCAGTCGAAGAAAACATCAATACTACCAAACAGTGTATACCCAGTGACGGAAGCGTAAAAAAACGAGTAAAAACTGATAAGATGATATCGTACAGTTTCCCAGCACAACAAGTCTGATAGTATAGTGCAGTGCACCACATGAAGTAGCAAATAAATCTGTGATCTGTGGAGTAACAAAATAGAAGAGAGATTGAAAAAATATAGTTAAAAAGAACAGTTCAGTATCTTTGAAGAAATAAAAAAAAATCAGATGAGGCAAATGGGAAACTTTCAAAATTGCTTATCACTGCTTCTGTGAAACAAGAATTATCATGTGATCCTAGTAAATCAAACTTGATCACCAAAGTACAGTAGATAGTGCAAACATCAAGGAAGAACACTACAATGTAGTGTAGTAATGTTCAAATTTACTATTCAAAAGAACCAGTAATGACAAACATGAGATAACAATTTGTGATCTCCTCCCCCCCCCCCCCCTCCTTGCACGCGCCGTTAACCAAGACGGAAGAATTACCTGATTGATACACCTGCCATGAGGCGGTCAGATTAGCTTGCGAATGCATTCACATTTCTCAGAATTCATCTGCTAGGAGACCCAATATTCTATAATTTTTCCTTTTAGTTGAACAAGTCAAAAGAAAAAAAATAAGATTTTCTGATATTCCATGCTCGACCATTCTTGAATCTTGGCATTTTATGTTCAATATAGATTAGTTCTCAGTGAGTTAGTAAGCGTTCCAAGATTGTTATCCGTTTATCAATACAACGACATCAGTAAACAGGTCGGTCGACGTTTCGGCAGGGTCGCCTTTTTCAAGACCTGGAAAGTGAGTCAGTAAATTCGACGCTCCAAGGATAGACATACCTTCAGCGATACACTTCAAGTGGCTGTCCACCACTCTGACACTTAGTCAGGCCACTATATGCTAGCCCTTGTGATGGAATGAGGTTCTCTTTTAAGGTCAGACTCAAATCCACACAATGATAAGAATGAGATGAGCTCACTACTGATAGCCATTTTCTCTTCCTTTCTGTTCAATTTGGGACATTTGGACGTGATCCAACAAGCCTCTATGGTCTTTCGTGCTGCAATGTCGGTTTCTTTCGAAAGGATAGCAACATTAATTTGAAACTCTATGTCCTGATGGCAAAGCACACGATGTGCGCCAAGAGGCGTGGACACTCGCGATTTTCTCATTCCGTCCAAATGTTCGTTAATTCTTACATACAGCGGTCTTCGTGTTTCTCCAATATATTCTTCCCCACACAGTTTGCAAGATATCAAGTACACAGCGAGTGTACTGATATATACTATATATATATATATATATATATATATATATATATATATATATATATACTATATATACTATATATACTATACTATATATACTACTTTGCATGTGTCGTGGCGCTGTGTACTTGATATCTTGTGAACTGTGTGGGGAAGAATATATTGGAGAAACAGGAAGACCGCTGTATGTAAGAATTAACGAACATTTGGACGGAATGAGAAAATCGCGAGTGTCCACGCCTCTTGGCGCACATCGTGTGCTTTGCCATCAGGACATAGAGTTTCAAATTAACGTTGCTATCCTTTCGAAAGAAACCGACATTGCAGCACGAAAGACCATAGAGGCTTGTTGGATCACGTCCAAATGTCCCAGACTGAACCGAAAGGAAGAGAAAATGGCTATCAGTAGTGAGCTCATCCCATTCTTATCATTGTGTGGATTTGAGTCTGACCTTAAAAGAGAACCTCATTCCATCACAAGGGTTAGCATATAGTGGCCTGACTAAGTGTCAGAGTGGTGGACAGCCACTTGAAGTGTATCGCTGAAGGTATGTCTACCCTTGGAGCGTCGAATTTACTGACTCACTTTCCAGGTTTTGAAAAAGGCGACCCTGCCGAAACGTCGACCTGTTTACTGATGTCGTTGTATTGATAAACAGATAACAATCTTGGAACGCTTACTAACTCACTGAGAACTAATCTATACTGAACATAAGATTTTATGGTTCTCTGAAAAGTGTTGAGCAGCTTCCGAATAATTTAATTGAAAGAAAGTGCTTCTCGAGAATAGTTGGACTTTCCGCATATTCCTGTCTTTCATAAAATAGCCTCTGAAATTTACTAATTATTTCGCATGATACACCTTTTCAATACTCCCTTATATAGACTGCTTTAAGTTATTTTCCGAGAATAATTGGCGAGTGACTAATTGGATGGTAGAAAATGACAAATAACAAGGATATCACTCAAATAAACTTTACTCGCTATTTTTGCTCTCTCAAAATTTTTAAAAATAGAAAATGCACAAATTGCAAGAAACTTCAGAATTAGCACATAAAAAATGAAACTTTCAATCTCCCCCCCCCCCCCCTACCCTCCTCCCCCTCTCGCCCCAAGCTCGCCCCAGGGCTGAAATGATGCAATCGTTGAGCAGAAGCAGAACTGCCATTAGTTTGAGATGAGCACGAAATAGGAAATGGAACCGTTCTAAGAAATTAGTGAAAATGATAAATATGTTACCATTCGTGTTTCGGCTGAAAAAAATATACCCAAACACAATACACGAATGACAAAGCACACCCTTCCCCCCCCCCCCCCTCCCCTTTCCAACCTCTCTCTCTCGCCCCGTCTCCGCCATCTCCAAAAAACACCGATCAGAACAGACATCCTACAAACTACATAACATGTAAGTCTAATTTGATGGCTCCAAATCAGAAAGAACGCGGAACAAATGGTCCTACATGACTATGATAACACTACACAACTCTAGCGCAAAATGAGGAAGTATATCATGCGTGTGATGATTGGAGTAGTAGTTCGTGCCCCGGCTAGAGCACTGACTGGTATTTGTACGCTGATAAAGGTTGCTGATCTAGCACACAACACTGCCAGTCTGGCACAAGGTGTTAGAAAACAACAGGTTGCGAAAAATGGGAACTGGTCAGCTGAGTCAGTAAGAAGAAAATCTTAGAAAGCAGAGAATATGTTGAACTAGCTGGCTTACCCGGCTCCGCCGTATGTTCCAAATAGAAAATTCCATTTCTTAACCGATCCGGACCAAACATGACACACATACGCTTCGGGCCCCGGCGGGTGTCACAGTCCACTTTTCGCTATCGATCGATGCCGACTTTATCGATTTTTCGCAAAATTTCAGCTAGGGGGCTGGAATTTGGCGGGGGGTGTAATCGAGCATGCTGATCACCCCCAAGGGGGTGATCAGCATGCTCGATTACCCCCCTGTGCCAACTCCCAGCCCCGTAGCTCAAATTTTGCAAAAAATCGATAAAATCGATATCGATCGATGACGAAAAGTAGCCTATGACACCCGCCGGGGCCCAAAGTGTATGTGTGCCAAGTTTGGTCCCGATCGGTTCAAAAATGGAATTTTCTATTCGGAACATACGGACAGACAGACATACAGACAGACATACAGACAGACAGACAGACAGACAGACAGACAGACAAACAAACAGACATTCAGCTTTATATATAAGAAGATTGTATTGCCCTCTCTTCAAAAATTCGCAGCTCTAGATAGAGAACTTTATCTTGAAGAATGAACGTACTCTAAGTGACAAAACAAAAGCTGATACCATATTTCGAGGATTCAAGTAGAAGCGGAAATGTTCTAAATTTCACAAATTCGTGAAGAAATGCTCAGTATGGCAAAAATTTTTGTAAATTATGTTTTCAGCTGTGAACATTCTGCGCTGATCGAAGATTATGAAATGGTTGGAGGTAACAAAAACTTGACCTGCGTCGAATCTCTTAAAAAATCAACCAGTTCTCAAAAGTTCTTATGTACAAAAGAGCAGAATTTTTCTGTCAGTAAAGTATAGTATTTAAAAAAAAACGTGTAATGCTGTAAGTCCGAATCTTATTAAGACATACAACCAGGGCCCGGCAAGAGGTGGGCAGACGGGGTTTTCCAAAACGATTTCCCCTTTGCCCCAATAGTTTTTACGAATACCTCCTTGAACCCAAAAATAACGCTTTGTGCTTGTGGAACGAGAGCACCGGCCACACTTCGCCTAAAAGCGCTCAAAAGCCCCAAAATGCTCAAATTCCTCTAATTACTCCTCACCTCTATCAAGATAGAAAACAGGAAGACGAATAAGCAAGGAAAATGATGAAGAAATGAAAAAATATCAAAGGAACGCAGTCATAGGACTGAGAGGTGCCGTTCCCGCGCGTATCGATTGACTGGGGCGCGCTTTCCATCTTAGAAAGCTAGGCTGCTGATGCGATTTTGGGCTCTAACAAAGACAAGAGGAGGAGTTTCGGAACCAAAATCTCACCATATAGTAAACTTTAGGTGAACAACAGATTTATGCAAAAATTTTGAAAAAATTATGTAAATTGGAAGTTTTGCCCACCTCAGGTGGGCATTAGTGGGCAATTGCCCACCTAATTTGGAAAAAAGTTAAGCACGCTCTTCATTCACATAAGTTTTTCATAATTTTTCATACATTGTTCCTTAGTCCTACTGCGCGTATACACACCAAGTCTCGCGCGATTTCGTTTTCTCTGCGCTGCAAACGAGCCATTTTTCCATTTTCTTGATATGGGAAATTTTCAGAAAAAAGCTTGCCACAACCTTCATTCACAGAATTTTTCAATGAAATTTCTAAGATAAACCGTGCAGGCCCGTGTTCATGTAACTACCAAGTTTCATACCATATGGTCACCTGTGCGCTGCAAACGAGCCATTTGAATCCACATCTTCATTTACCAGTTTTGCGAAATTTTGGAAAAAATGCTTATTACACCTCCCATTCACATAA